GATGATGATGATGATGATGATAAGAATAAACTCCTCTCTCCATTGCTGGAGGCTGATGGGAGGCTGCCCTGCACCTGCTCCAGGATGAGATCCACCTTCCCACTATGCTCTCCTTGGATTGCCTTGTTGACGGCAGGAGTACAGAGACAAGGCAGACGATCAATGTGATCAGAGCGATGTCCAATTTATGATTTAAATCAGCTGACTTATACAGTTTAGTTTGTTCCGGGTGCGTGCTCACAACGAGGCGATTGGACGGCTCAGTCTGTGCACGCGCCCCATGCTCTCAGTTTATTGGACCTGGTGCTCTGTCCACGCCGTCTGAAATCATACTTGGCATGCAAAGCTCTTTCTATTGACCCACCTTTAGGGTTTTTTTCCGAGATCTGCAGGTGTTTCATTATCTCCACTTTCTCAAGGCTTTCTTACTATAAACGTACTATGTTCTCAAACCTTATAATGACAAACACAAGGCTAACAAGGATAAACACTGCATATTTTCACACAGCTTATAAGTGTAAACATTACGCCGCTCGTCACTTCTGAAGTCGTGGCAAGCAAGGCCTACTGAATGCGAGAAAAATTGTTCAGAGAAATCTCTCTGCTCCGGCCTCATTGCCTGGAACTGGGAACACCTGGAGCCAGGAACACTCGGAACTGGGAGCACTTAGTCTCAAATCCAACCCTAATCCTAACCCTGATCTTAGTCTCAGTCCAGGTTTGGACACACTTAGTCCTGTATTTAATCTTATCTCAGGCTCAAGCCAAGCCCCTGCTCCCATCCCAACCACACCTCTAACCCTAATCTCGTATTTAGCCTTGACCTCAGTCCCAGCTCTAACCACAACCCCAGCCCTAAACCAAATTCCACATTTGTTCCTAACTCCAACCCCAGCCCTAACACCAATCCCACATTTATCCCTAACTCACACTCCAGCCCCCAATTCTAGCCCCGATCCCAACCCCACCCGTCACCCTAATCCCACATTTAGCCTTGACCCCAATGCCAGTCCTAACCCCAGTCCCAGATTTAGCCCTAACTCCAATCCCAGCCCCAATTCCAGCTCTAACCCCAATCCCAACCCCCTTCTAGCCCCGATCCCAACCCCAGCCCTAACCCTAATCGTACATTTAGCCCTAATTCCAATTCCAGCCCTAACCCTCTGTCACCTCAATCCCTCCTAAAATCACCAAAATCCCACTTTTACCCCCTTTCCCTCCCCCACCTCTGGCCCCGCCCCTCACCCACAAGCCACGCCCCCAGCCCCCTACCCTC